GAAGAGCTCAGAGACCTAGGATAGAAGCAAACATGACTGGAGAAAATAAAGTCAATGTAATGAAGCCTAATGATACTCTGTTCTACTCATAGACTGAAGCCTAGCTTAATCGTCAGAGAGGCTTCATCCAGCAACTGATGGAAACAGATGCAGAGACCCATGGCTAAATATTAAATGTAGTTTGGGGAATCCTGTGAGCAAGACGGGAGGGGAGGATTGTAGGAGACAGAGGGGTCAGGGACACCACAAGAAAAAACACAGAATCTGAGTAGCTTGATCTTCTTGTGGGATTCCTAACAATTGGAGTAAGGGCTGTTTCTGATTCTTTTGTCTGCTTTTGGGACCCCTTTTTTCCTACTGGGTTGCTTAATCTAACCTTAACAGGAGGGGAAGGGTCTAGTCATATTGCAACTTGATATCTCATGTGTGGTTGATATCCCTGGGGAGCTTGTCAGGTTCTCAAGAAACAAGAGCAGTGGTTTTCACTTTCACAGGGTTGTCTAAGATTAGGAGATGCCTATGAGAGTAGTCATGTGCTCTGCAGCCTCATGATGGGAGTTTGACCCTTGGGGACCATAGAAAGGCAGAAGTAGAGAACCAATTCTAGAAGGTGGACTCCGACCTCCACATGCCTGTCTTAGTGTGAACACACTCATACCCATCTACACTCACCCACACCCACCCGCACACAGACAAACACTCACACACTCACCAATACCCACCCCACAAACACTCTCAAGCACACTTTCTCTCTCACACACACTCATACACACTGATAATAAAAGTATTTTTAGAAAGACAATTTCTTCACAAATTGATAGATCTTTAGAGGAAAATTTAGAGGATATGTTGTCTCACAAAGCCATCTACAAATATTTCAGTCTCACTTGAGGGTACGCTCTACACTTGTTATAGCAACTCTAATTTTAAAATAAGATAATAAATACCCACTAAAATGCTTTTTTCTATTTTAAAACAACTTAAATAAGTTAAATAAATAACGGTCATAAGTGACTGTTCAATTCTATGGCTGTAGCATCCCACATGATGTTTTTGAAACCAATGGACCTTTCTTTTATCAAGAACAAGCCATGAGAAAATGCTAAGGACCCATTAGCCACTCACTCACAGTGACTTTAAACTGTGCTGGACTTCTAAATCTCTTCCCTCGATACTTTTTTTTTAATTTTTAAAATTTTCCTATTTTTCTTTTATTAATTAATTAATTTTGTATACCAACCACAACCTCTGTCCCTCTTCAACTTCATTTTGTCCCTTCCTCAATTCACCCCTTCTAGAAAAACTCATCTTTAATGAGGGAACTCAGACCCCAAAAGGCTAGCATAGCATCCACTTACTCATAAGTGATATTAAATCATATTAATATAAATTAATATTAACATATCAATAATAATATCAACATTAATAGATATTAATTGTAGAGTGAAGGATAATGATGCTACGATGCACAGACACAGAGAGGCTAGGTAAAAAGGAGAACCCAAGGGAGGATGCATGGATCTCCTTGGGAAGGGGAAATAGAACAGATGTCCTAGGTGAACTGAGTGAATGGGGATGAGAACTTGATGGATTATGTTGTAGGCTGGGCAGAGGGGGAGAGCCCTGAGAAGGATGACTAGGTCGAGGGGATTTATGGAGCTGGGTAGAAGCCTGATGCAAGGGAAACTTCCAGGAGTTTACAAGGATGGCCCCAGCTAAGACTCCTGGAAGAAGTGGCTACAGAGCTTGAACTGTGATCAGATTGAAGACTATCTTGGCTGTCAACAGAGAGCCTTCATTCAGTGAATGATGGAGGCAGATTCATAGACCCAAGACCCAGAGATCCAAGGCCAAATGTTTGGCCAAACTCAGGGAGACCTGCTGAAGAGAGGGAGCAGTGGTTGTAGGAGCCGGGGGTGTCAGGGACATAGGAGGAAAACATTCTCTAACTTTTAACTTAGCTATTGTGAACTAAAGATCCTGATTAATATGTAAATGATGTAGAGGTTATGGAATCTTGAAGTCCAAAGCCAGATTATCCTGGGCCAATTTCTTGCACAATTTAATAGCCATCTATTAGCCTTCTCTGTATGTGGCCTACCGTCTTTTTGATAATTAGATAAAGCTTTTGAAATCTACAAACAGACACCTAGGTCCCACCAAACAAAAGGTTTAGTATGCTATCAGGGATCATCTAATGCCTATAGCAAAAATTTCCCCAGATTTTGTGACTCACCTGGTATCCCCACAAATGCTTTAAAAAGTGTCTTGATTTATAATTTCCTTTTCCTATCAATATAAAAATCTCACTGAACTTTTAGCATATTTAAACATGGAACATAGGCTGAGTTAAATCAGTGTTTCTGGGCCAGGACTATGATCACTCATACTTGGCTCCAGAATAAATTGTCTCTTACTTCCTTTGAGATGGGAGTTGTGTATTTATATCAACACTATGTTTCTAAACAAGTTTAAGCCACCATGTGGTTAGTAGCTGAGCCAGCAGCGTGACAAGGCTCAGCTTCTACCATAATCTTCTCTAGCATAACCTTCTCTTCCAGTCACTTTGGGAAGTGAAAACAAGGGGTTCCAAGATGAATCAGACTGCAAGTAGGGATAGACTTTGCAGGAAAGGCTCTTCCTTACACATCCCATATCCCTATTCTCAGTTTTGGGGCAAGGTAAGAGCAAAGCATCACTACTCTGTGATGCCCCTGTTGAGTTTCCTCAAGTTAGCTTTAGTCCTACATGGTTTCTATAGAGCTACCACAGTTCAGTGCAGCCAGAGAAAACACTTCGCTTAATAGGTGATGTAGGATTTCCCTTTGTATGCTGTGATTACCATAAATGAATAAAGAAAACTGGCATGACCTGTTGATAGGCAGAACTTAGGTTTGTGGGAAAAACTAAGCTGAATGCTGGGAGAAAGAAGAGCGGAGTCAGAGAGATGCCATGGAGCCATGTAACCACTGTGGGAGATAGACTTGCTTAAACTTTGCTGGTAGACTATGACCTTGTGGTTATATACACATTGATAGAAATGAGTTAAATTAATATGTAAGAGTTAGCCAATAAGAAGCTAGAGCTAATGGACCAAACAGTGTTTTAATTAATACAATTTCTGTGTGATTATTTTGGGTCTAAAATAGCCAGGTGGCCGGAAACTAACAAGTGACTTTCTCCTTCAACAGTTTAGGGTTGATGGAACAACTTGAGTCAAGATACAAGACAATCAACTGAAAGTGCACTATGAGTTATATGGTCTAACTTGCACTGTTAACCTAATAACTGCTATAGAATGTCAATAAATTTGTTAGGTCTAACATCAGCTACTAACTGGGCAAGAAGTGTGAAATGTTTCTATGATACTGAAATTGATGATTGTGATAATCCTCAGCAAAAGGCTAGGATAGATAATTCCTCAGCTAGTGGGGAAAGGTCACCACTAGCAATGTCTCTGTATCTCTTTTGTAATTTGTACATATGTCTGATAGGGAGTACTACTGCCCACCACATCCAAAGTTAGAAATTATTACAAGGAAGTGAATGAATGAATAATGAATGAATGAACAAATGAATGTAGATGACGCTTTGCCCTTATGAATTTACACCTTCCCCAAAGTGCCTTCCCTGGGTGAAACTAATCTCTGAAGATCACAGATTCTCTTGTCCTTGAATATGCCTGACTGTTTATCTTAAATCTTCCAAATTAAAGCAAGTCCAAGTCATGGCAGAGAAGACTAATCTTTCGAACCTGAGCTGCGAGGCAATTGAGTAATCCCTACTAAATATATTACCTCAGTCCAGGCACCTGCTCTGGTAATGTCTTTTATTTATTCGCTTTGTCTCTTTATTCACATGTCTCACTATGTTCAGGGAGGGAGGGAGTGAGAGTTCCTAGGATCAATGTCCACAACACAACTAGAATTCTTTTCTACTTATCATGCTCTTAAGTAGACAAATCAGGAGGCAATGATGCCTGAATTTTTATTGATCAGGCATTATAGTAGAATGAATAGAGTAAAAGCCAGAAAAGACAATAGGGAGTAGCAGACCTGATCCTCCCAGGCCAGATTACCTGCTGAGTGCTTTGAGTGGGAAGCTCTCTCTGATCCCCTTCACCTTCCCAAGGTGAGCATCCAGTAAACTGAAGGTAAGCACAGTGCATGGCTATCCTGAGCCTAGGCTGTTCAGCCTCCATGCTAAGTATTTTAAATACATTGTCTTATTTAGGTCTCAAAGCACCTTTGCTGGTGGTGGTTTCAGTAGCTAACATTATCCTAAATTTTAGAGATGGCAATGTCAGAGAGATTAAGCAACTTGCCCAAGGTTACACAATTAGGGGTAGAGACAAGAGTAAAACCTGTATCTCTGTTCCCAGTGCATTTAACCCCACTTAAGGATTCCCAACCACATCAGTTTGTAAGATCTGAGCACACATTTCCATCTTCTCCTCTAATCAATGAGCTCCTTCAGGGAAGAATTTATTGCTCATTAATATTACATCTCTAAGGCAAAGAATAATGCCTAGTAGAGAACAGAAACTCAATGACTGTCAAGTAAATAATACGTTGAATTAAAAAACTAAAAGATGAAAAGAATTAATTTGAAAAAGAAGGGTTAAAGTCAGGGCCAATGGTCATTTGATAACAGATGACTCTTTTATAAGAAGTACCATTTTTTTTGCTATAGAAATAAATAAAATGCTTTCACAAATTTTCTTTACCCCAGGACTTAAATGAATGATTGAAATTCTATAATCAGAACATGACACAATTTTATTTGTGTCACCAGCATATAATCATATGCTGTCTATAATAAGCTACTTGAAGTTTTCTAATGGGTCGCAGTTCTGTAATCTAGGCACAAGAAGAAGATATGCCCTTGGCAATAGTTAACACAAGTGCTTCAACTGGCTTAGATGGAAAGCAACCCCCATATTTGCATTCTATAGATGTTCTCTGTTTCCTTATCAGGAAGCAGTCAGTCTTCTCTGGTACCTTCACATCCTCTGCCATCTTCCTCCAGCTTTTGGCCAGCTTGACATCTGCAGTAATAACTGCCAATCGTATTGCAGCATTGGTCTTGACAGCCACCATTGTCAACAGCACATTCGTTTATATCTGCAATTGAATAGTTGTATAGAATCAGTCTTTCCAAAGTAAATACACAGAAAAAAAAAACCCTCCAATGCCTCTCCTAAAATCGATCCACCAATTTGGCATTCCTTCCTCATCAGATTTTAAGGAGAAAAGAAGAGCATCTTTTTTTTTTTATTTATTTTGTGTCTATGTGCACATGTGTGTGAATATACATGTGGTTACAAGTGTGCACACGGCACAGCATGCTGATGGAGATCAGAGGACAACCACAGGTGTCCTCACCTTCCACCCCTCTTGAGACAGGTTCTTTTTGGTGTCTGCTATGATAGTTGGCCTTTGAGTTTTTGAGATCTCCCTTTCCTGTCACATCTTGTCACAAAAGCACTGGGATTGCAGCTGTGCAACTGTGCCCAGCTGTGCACGGGTGATTAACCTTAGGTTCTCAAGCTTGAGCAGCAAGAGGTTTAGCTAGTGAGCCATATCCCAAGCCCGAGCATCTCATTTTAATCAGAGCTAATGTGTCATAGAGAAATAGCCACATCCTAATCCTTGATATCTGTAGTAATAACTATTTTAAAATAGTTAAATAAGGAGTTTTTAGTGCTATAGATTTGGAGGGTTTGTAGGACAGATATAGAAATGTCCTACCAGTCAGCAATTCAACGTGAGATCCAGAACATAGAGAGAAATTACAGTAGTGTTCTGTAGTATCTAGCAGGGGTTGGGGATTAAACAGAACTATAGCTTTGCTGAGTCTTCTTCTAAACCCATGGCTAAAAGTCTTTAGTTTTAGAACTCAAATTTATGCATTGCTCCTATGCAACTAATGCCTGAGAAACATTCTAACTTATTTTCAGCCTTGACAGTGGCCTGGCTGGATACATTATTACTCTCCTGCTCATATCAGCATAGTCAGTGTAAGCAGAGTAACCTTGGTAGATGCTTGCTCAGTAAGAGGAGTGTGGGTAGGAGAGGGAAGGTGGGGAAGGGAAAGCATGAGGGAGCAGGGCAAGTAAGGATGGGAGATCTGGGCAGGGGAGAAAAGAGACAATAGGGAAGACTGACCAGGGAGGAATAGTGGAAGCCACTGAGGGCATCCAAACTGAGGGCTTGTGTGCGCTAGGCTATGCTCTGGTGTGTGCCTATCCACAGCCGAGCAGCAGAAGCTCGCTGCGGGGACCAACTATGGTTATTATTCAATAAACATTCTGTGTAGCTGAAGGTCCCAGCTGCTTTGACCTTGAGACACTACAAACCAACTTCACTTTTTTGTAAGGTGTTCAGACAAACTTGGACTGTGAATTATTTCTGTGTTTTTGTCTGCCTTCCTTCATTAACCATCCATTTATAGACACACCCTTGAGCTGTGGGAACATGCCGTTCAGTCTTTCTTGCTATATCCTGAATACTGCTGTAGTCTAAAGATTTACCAGAATGTTTATTTATCCACTTCACAGATAAAGCACAATTGATTTTTTTTTTCTGTTTTGGTGACTGGGAAGAATGTTGACATGAATATTCTCACCTAAGCAAGCCTTCAGTGGATTTACACATGTACTTCCGCTGGATGATAGATCTCAACTGGAGTCAAAGGGTCAGATAGTCCGACATGTTCTGTTTTAATGGTTATAACCAAGCAGTCTTCCAAAGAGATTAATCTGATTTATACTCCCACCAGCTGTGTATTGTGGACCAGATGTCACTAATTTCTTCCAGTATTTGGGATATCCTGTTTTTGATTCAAGTCCTCTGGAGATTTTATAATGGCACCATGTTTTGTCTTAATATGCATTTTCCTGGTTATTAATTAGGCTAAGCACATTTTCATGTTATTGGCCATTTGAGTGACATTTGTTGAAAAGTTTGTTTAAATAGTTTGTCGATTTGTTTAACTCTTAAAATATTGGTTATTATACTTATTGGTCTTAGGGCACAACCTCAAACTAAAGAGATATTTGTAATCTACTTTGTCTCCCTTCAAGCCTTGAAAAGATGGCTTTCTAATATGCACATTCTTGTAGTGGAAATGAATCTGTATTTCCATCAGTCCATATATAAAGATTCATCTGATCAGATTTAAAATGCTGTATTATGAATTCTAATTGGTCTTAAGAATAAAAACCCAAAGTTGGATATTACGGGTGAAAACTGAGAGATCAAAGAAGCAGAGCAACCAACCACTCACTAGGGAGTTCTTACCTCTACCAATGCTCAGACCAAAGGGGTGATGCTGTCCCTGTGAAAACTCAGACTGCATCTACATACTTCATTTGAGCTCCTGTCTCCTTTTACCTTATATTCTTCTCTCTGCCCAGTCTTACCTCCTCTTATTTCCACATCCCTAGTGATGGGATTAGAGGTGTGTGTCACCACTACCTAGCCTCTATAGCTAACTAGTGGTGCACTCTGATCTCCAGGGAAGCTTTATTTGTTAGATTATAAACAAAATATCACTTCAGAATGTTCTCATTTCATACATATTTGGTTCAAAAACAAGTATTAGGTCTTACAATTACTGAATATATACAGAAAACTATTTGGTTTCTTATTAATTATGTAAGGTAATAAATGACACTGACTGATTTTGCATCTCTAAAATAAATCTCATCAGGATTTTATATGATTCAAATTATTCATTTATGATTTCAGCTAGGATTTTTAAAACAATTTTTGTGGTTATATTTATGATATGACTAGTATTCTTTTTTTCCTTATAATCCCCCACATTTTTGATAACACCAGGTTCTTATACCCACCTCTCATGGGAATGAAAGCAAGTTAAAAATATTTCTTTTTTATCATCTTAATAGATTGGTTTTATTTCTTACATCAATGTTTAAGTTCATTTACTATGCCACTTGCAGCATGTGGCTCTTTGTGTAATGTATGTCTCTATGTGTGTACTATGTTGTGTGTGCAATCACTTATGAGCTTAATTTATTTATTACACATAAAAATATTTAATTATACAGCTTAATGCATTGGAGTAAATTGTATCACTCAAAGAATTTTTCCTATTTCATATAAATTTCTGAATATACTGCTGCTAAGTTTTTTCAATATTTTCACACTTTTAGATACCCAGCCTGCTCAATCTGTACTTAACTCATAAAATTTCTTCTTTATTTTTATTGGAATTGTTTTAAATTCCTTATATCTTTCTGTTGTCTAGAATCTGTTTATGATTTACCTATCTTCTATCTTCTCTCAATCTACTTATTTATCTATCTGGGTAAGTATGTATATGTCATCTGTCTATCATCATTCATACCTCTATTTAGTCACTGTTTTATTACTGTGAAGAGACACCATGACCAAGCAACTCTTACCATTCCCCACCAAAGGAAACATTTAATTGGGAACTTACATACAGTTTCAGAGGGTTAGTCCTTGATCATCATAGCAGGAATCATGGCAGCCTGCATTTTTCTGGAGCAAAAGCTGAAAGCTACAGCCTGATCTATAGGCAACAGACAGAGACAAAGCGACACTGGGCATGGTGTCGGTTTTTGGAATCTAAGAGTCCACTTTCAGTAACACACTTCCAACAAGACCATCCCTCCTACTCCTTCCCTGACAACTCATCAACTGGAGATGGGTGTTCGCTTATTCTCATTCCAACCACCTCATCATTCACTCAACATCTCCATCCCAGCCATTTGTCATTCATCTTGTGTTTTCCAATACCAAGGTCTTGGCACTATTCATTTTTCAATGTTGCTTGTTTGTCTTCTGTCTTAATTATCCTATGCTTTGTCACTACCTTTCTTCTTCTTTCTGTGTGTTTCTCTTGTAGTTCTAACTTCAATCATTGTCTTCTAATCTTACTCTGAAACTTTACTTCTGTTCACCCATATATGCATGTGACAATCTACCCCAGCAATGAGTGGTTAAAAGAAAACGTGTTATTTTCTGAGGATTGCTAAGCCCAATTTGATGGTCCTCCCAAGATGGTCAGTAGAATCAGTTGGCAGTTGAACTCCTCCTATATGCTGGCTGTTAACTCATAAATTGGGAACTGGGTGGAGGCTCTAGGACTTCTGGAGAAAGAGAAATAGGGTGAGAAGGAGGAGAAGGAGGAGGACCAAGAAAGGAAGGATAAGGAATTCATCCTTTTAGAGAACAGTTTCATGGATGACCTGGGAGAGAAAGACACTATGATATTTTCTGAAGACAGTGTATTTCACTGAGATGTTTGGGGTAGGCATAATTTTCCAAAAGCTAAAGTATTGCCTATCCTTCACTTGCTTTTGTTCCTCATGTTGCATTTTAATTATTGTTCAGCTCAAAACATTTACTAGTATAAATAAACATTTCTTCTTCAGATTATTTTAAATTATATTTTGGGGTCTTTCTTAAAAACCATTGTGAACTTTCTATTGTTTTGTTATGAAATGCTAGATCATAGTCAACAAAATCTCAATTCTTCAAAATCTGCTACATTACTTTAATTCTAGCACTTCCCCAGTATGGGTTTCATATTATATGTATACAATTCGAATATGTATAAACATGTATATTTAATTAATTCAAGTTTGTTACCCAGGGTTTTCATATTTTTACATCTTTTAAGGATTTTCTCAATCTCTTTATCAGATTTCGTTTGTCCTATTATGATGGAAAGTTTTGTTTCATACAATTTGAAGCTTTATTAACATTGCCACATTTTCCTAGCACACACGACCCTTTGTTATAAAACGTGCCTCTTTAGATCCAGCATCTTTCATTAGAGTTGACTTTTCTGTTAGACTGTTACCTGTATCTATTTCCTATTGATGGCTGTTTGCATGAATTTCATTCTCTGAAGTCTACTTTTACACTTCATTATTCGAACATTTGAAGTTTCTCTATGTATTATTTGAATATATTCTAGCTCTTTCCGAACATAAACATATTCTAAATACCTTACTCTTTACTAATAGGATGATAGTATGTAACTGAGCTCTAACTACTCACACCTTCGAATTAAATCTACCATTTGCTTATTTCTATAAAGTTACTGTGTATCATGTTATAACTTC